TCTGTTCCTATTACCAAGCAGGTGCTCCCCTGGCTTCTCTGTCTTTTAGGGGAGTCCTCCTGACTCTTGAATACCGTCTGTTCCTATTACCAAGCAGGTGCTCCCCTGGCTTCTCTGTCTTTTAGGGGAGTCCTCCTGACTCTTGAATACCGTCTGTTCCTATTACCAAGCAGGTGCTCCCCTGGCTTCTCTGTCTTTTAGGGGAGTCCTCCTGACTCTTGAATACCGTCTGTTCCTATTACCAAGCAGGTGCTCCCCTGGCTTCTCTGTCTTTTAGGGGAGTCCTCCTGACTCTTGAATACCGTCTGTTCCTATTACCAAGCAGGTGCTCCCCTGGCTTCTCTGTCTTTTAGGGGAGTCCTCCTGACTCTTGAATACCGTCTGTTCCTATTACCAAGCAGGTGCTCCCCTGGCTTCTCTGTCTTTTAGGGGAGTCCTCCTGACTCTTGAATACCGTCTGTTCCTATTACCAAGCAGGTGCTCCCCTGGCTTCTCTGTCTTTTAGGGGAGTCCTCCTGACTCTTGAATACCGTCTGTTCCTATTACCAAGCAGGTGCTCCCCTGGCTTCTCTGTCTTTTAGGGGAGTCCTCCTGACTCTTGAATACCGTCTGTTCCTATTACCAAGCAGGTGCTCCCCTGGCTTCTCTGTCTTTTAGGGGAGTCCTCCTGACTCTTGAATACCGTCTGTTCCTATTACCAAGCAGGTGCTCCCCTGGCTTCTCTGTCTTTTAGGGGAGTCCTCCTGACTCTTGAATACCGTCTGTTCCTATTACCAAGCAGGTGCTCCCCTGGCTTCTCTGTCTTTTAGGGGAGTCCTCCTGACTCTTGAATACCGTCTGTTCCTATTACCAAGCAGGTGCTCCCCTGGCTTCTCTGTCTTTTAGGGGAGTCCTCCTGACTCTTGAATACCGTCTGTTCCTATTACCAAGCAGGTGCTCCCCTGGCTTCTCTGTCTTTTAGGGGAGTCCTCCTGACTCTTGAATACCGTCTGTTCCTATTACCAAGCAGGTGCTCCCCTGGCTTCTCTGTCTTTTAGGGGAGTCCTCCTGACTCTTGAATACCGTCTGTTCCTATTACCAAGCAGGTGCTCCCCTGGCTTCTCTGTCTTTTAGGGGAGTCCTCCTGACTCTTGAATACCGTCTGTTCCTATTACCAAGCAGGTGCTCCCCTGGCTTCTCTGTCTTTTAGGGGAGTCCTCCTGACTCTTGAATACCGTCTGTTCCTATTACCAAGCAGGTGCTCCCCTGGCTTCTCTGTCTTTTAGGGGAGTCCTCCTGACTCTTGAATACCGTCTGTTCCTATTACCAAGCAGGTGCTCCCCTGGCTTCTCTGTCTTTTAGGGGAGTCCTCCTGACTCTTGAATACCGTCTGTTCCTATTACCAAGCAGGTGCTCCCCTGGCTTCTCTGTCTTTTAGGGGAGTCCTCCTGACTCTTGAATACCGTCTGTTCCTATTACCAAGCAGGTGCTCCCCTGGCTTCTCTGTCTTTTAGGGGAGTCCTCCTGACTCTTGAATACCGTCTGTTCCTATTACCAAGCAGGTGCTCCCCTGGCTTCTCTGTCTTTTAGGGGAGTCCTCCTGACTCTTGAATACCGTCTGTTCCTATTACCAAGCAGGTGCTCCCCTGGCTTCTCTGTCTTTTAGGGGAGTCCTCCTGACTCTTGAATACCGTCTGTTCCTATTACCATGCAGGTGCTCACCTGGCTTCTCTGTCTTTTAGGGGAGTCCTCTTGACTCTTGAATACCGTCTGTTCCTATTACCAAACAGGATCTCACCTGTCTTCTGGGGGAGTCCTGCTGACTCCTGAACACCGTCTGTTCCTAATTCCCAGTAGGAGATAGTTCTGCTAGCCAGCACCCTCTCCTTAAGGGCTGTGCACAGTTGTGCAATCATCAAGTGCTGCTGACTACCAAAACATGGACCCAGGACTGGAGATTGTATCCTTCCCAATTATCTTTGAAATCTCCCGGTTCCAGACAAACCCTTGCTTCCTGAAACCTCTCAGCCCCTCTGGCCGAGAGTCCTGGGTGATCATAACACCCAATTCTACTGTGCCACTCAATACCGCAGATAAAAAAATACATGCAAGAAAACTTACAATTCACCTGAAAACGCTCAATGGGGGGAATGGGGTCGAAGCCTTTTGCTCTAAGATCTATCCCTCGAGTCTTCTTAATGAGGGATCTGCTCTCCCAGCCTCCAGGCTCTGAGATATTGCACCCCACTCCTGCCTCCTCTGAAATGCTGCATTCGGTGTCTACTGCCTCCGAAACTCTGCATCTTTTGGCTGCTACCCCTCATTCCATTGCCCTGCCTTCTCAAATTAGATTATTTCTTTAATGTGCATCTCTGACCTACTCTAGGCAACAATGAAAAATAGACATTGTAACCCAGGGGTGGGCAACTCTGGCCCTCCAGCTGTGCTTTAACTACACATCCCATAATGCCTCTGCTTCTGGGAGTCATGCCTGTAACTGTCAGTCTTGTGATGCCTCTTGGGACTTGTAGTTCGACAACAGCTGGAGGGTAGGAATTGACTAACCCAATCCCGCTCTATCAAAAATGCTGTTTGAGCATGCGGGCTTAGAGTACTATGTGAGGTCCGGTGGGTGGGTAATGTGGTGTTTTCAGCACATCACACTTTGGTTTTTTTAAACTTTATTTTGAGTGTACAAATAGTACACTTCATTTACGTCTCTACATAACAAGACGATGCCTTCTGCATGTGAGCATTTCTTTTTTTTTTGCAATGCATCACACCACATGTGGTCAGTGGCGCAACAACCGCCATAGCGACACAGGCGGCCACTATGGGGCCCGGGCACAGGGGGGCCCGACCAGGGCATCCCTCTGATTCCGTGTGGGCCGCTATGGCATATCAGGGTGCTGGCTGTCACTGACACAGCCGCTGCGGCAGAAGAGGCCAGTTACACCGGTGTTCGATCGAGTTGTCTGAGCGCAGTGAAGAAGGATGCAGGAGCCTGCCTAAGAGCAACCCCGCCTCCTCTTACATCACCGGCCAGCGACCTAAGAGCAGGTGGGACCAGTGATGTAAGAGGAGGTGGGCCCGGCGACCACGGAGCCGGACAGCGTGCCGCTGACAGGTAAGGTGTCAGGTAAGGTATAGAGAGTCTATGGTGGGCTCTGCAGGGTCACTCAGGTGGGCTCTGCAAGTGGCATAACTAGCAATCACGGGGCACCATACAAAATTTTGCTATGGGGCCCTGTGATTTCTAGTTACGCCCCTGCATGTGGTATGAGCAAGAAACAAAGAAAACAATTGTTCTCTAGTGGTGAATGGTTTTGAACAGTTGCTGAAAAACCCAGTCACCGGCGCTAATGTTGTGATTGAACCCTAATGTTTTGTCAGGGACTTGGAGGGGGGCACCATTGTTGGGCACAATGCAAATTCTAGAGTATTTTGCCCTGCCAGGACATAGTCTCCTATAGAGGTCAATGGCTGTACAAGGGTATACACCAGTGCACAATTCTGAACGCTGAGTCTGTGTTCGGGGTTTTGTGCCTGTAAGCATGCACCTGTTTACGCACACCTCCCTGCTGTCCCTTATTTAGAACTAAATCTCGCTGTCAGTGGATTGCAAGTGCAGTACCTGGTTCTTGCAGATTCACCCCCCTCTATGTCTATACCGAGCTACAAACCTTCAGTAACATGGACAGAACAAGGAATGAATGGACTAGAAGCAGGGTCACATCTACGAGGCAGCATCTCATTGGGGGCGACAGGTGTGGGAGGGGGATGGCCACAGCCTCCCAGGTTGCTAAGAGCTCCTAGCAACCTGTGACACTCTGTCTGTCTTCCCACCCAGCTCATTGGGTAATTGGTTGCAAGGGAACTGAGCGGGATGGTCTGGTTGGCATCCTGCTGAGCTCCTGGCAACCAGTGACACCAGTGAGCTGGGTGGAATCAGACAAATAGCTGCTCACAGCACGGCTCTAAGACAGCCGCCCACCCCACCACTTCTCCAGGTGACCAACACCAGCATAGCCCCTTTTCCTGAGAAGCACCCCCTACCACCCCCTTTCTCTACGGCCTCAGGTGGCATATAAGGTAGGGACGGCCCTGACTACAACTACAGTGACAAAAATGCACTTTTATTCAATGGTGAACTACAATTCCCTGTTCTGCAGTTGCTGATGGGACTTGTAGTTCCTCCATTCACAGATACTGTCAAAGGATCTGTGAATGGATGAAGCAGCTGTGTGGGTGAATTCAAAAGGCTGCGGGGAGAACCCCACAATTCACCTAAGTGGACAAGCAGGATGGTGGCGATGTGACCATGTTTCACCCTGAATAATCAGAGGCATCGCCAGGCTGGGTATCACATCATTATGTTATTACGCGTGAACATAATGACATCACGTGCACTTAACTTGCTGGCGGCCATCTTGGTGATGGATGCTGGCAAAGAGAGGGGACGTTGATCCGGCAGGATAAGGTATGCCACTGTCAGGGACTTGGCATATTGTACAGCTGCCAGGCTCTCCTTCCATGACCAAGTAAAGTGGTAGACTTTTCAGAGGGGTGATGCCAAAATGACTGGTGTCACCCCCTCTGATGGTTTCACCAGCTGCACCCCCTCTGCGACGCCACTGGGTGTAATATGGTCACACTCACAAAGGTAAAGTTAGCATTAGAGTGGATGACAAGCACTATGTTACGCCCACGTAACATGGCTATAACATCACTACTACCACTACCACCAGCAATACCTATGCAGATAAATCATGAAGAACGGAGACATAAAGTAAAAAGATTCTCAGGAACATCGAACAGATAACAAATCGTCTTCTTCTCACTACTGATTGTGATTGCTCATGTACCATGTGAGAGCTCTTCGCTAACCCCTCCCACTGAGACATGCTTCGTCTCAACAGCCAATCAGATACCGAGGAATATGACAGTCCCGATGGCGTGCCGGAAAAGAAGCGCGCCGTCCGCAATTCGAGCGTCCGCCGGCCAATCCGATCCGCGGAAAGCGTCCTGGGCGTGGACATGCAAATCCAGTTTGAAAAAGACGGCGGGAAATCTGAGTTTCGCGGGAGGACCTTCGCGCGTAAACCGCATCCCTTCATTCATTGTCAGCTTCCTGGAGCCATTTTTCAGCCGCGGCGGTGGCAGGGAGGTCGAAGCGGGGCCCTATCACTTCCAGCCGTGCAATCCGCTTGCATCTGCCCCCTCCGGTGCCCGATTACCCTCAGATAAGCTCACCCCATGCACCGAGGGGGTAATTTCTAACTGCATCTGCCACTATTTCCAGGCTACAGGCCCGGGGCCGTACGGATTCCAGGGATAGGAAGGAGGAACCCGAGTCTTCCCGGGAACGGCGAGCGGGAGAAGGCTGCTGTCACTAAGATGAGGAAAGGAATCTACTCCGGGCACGACAAGCTGCTGGTAGCCGGGCTCCCAGGCACGGAGAAGGGCTCCGGTCTGCACGGTGGGTTTGTGGCCGGGGGAGGTGCAACCGCTGTAGTGGGCACAGGAAGTGGGGGATACCTGCAGATCCTGTCCTCGCCCGGCCCGGTGCACCACCCCCAGCACGGACTTTACGCTCCCGATCAGCAGCACCAGGCAGCCGCCAGCTTCATCTACTCTACACCGCACGGACCAGCCGGCAGAGCCGGCCTACTGCAACCAACAGTGGGGCGCCCTCCGGTAATGAGCAGTGACACCCCTATCCCCCACTGAGTGTGCAAGCTAACATGCATGTATATGTGTTCCCACCAGTCCTTCATGTGTGCTGTGATGTCTGTACATGTATTCATCTGGGTAATAGACATATGTGTAGGCGATGTACAGGGGGGCATAGGGCTTTCTTTCCAGGAGGCCGGTTCCCGCCCCGGATGAAGTTGGGGGGAGGGGAAAGGTCACCTGTGTATTAGCTGTTTTTGCATCTGTCACTAGCAGGGGGAGGTGGGGGTGCTATGGTGTCACCAAGCAATCTAACCCAATTTGCACCTTTCTGTTCAGGGATCACTGTGGAGGTGTTCTCTAATTGAGGGCTCATTATTATAGGAGGGAGTGTATGTATATTTTGGGGGTGCTTGTGATCAGCCAGCACTATCTGATTATTCATTAATACAGGTTCCCTTTTTTTATTAATTTGGTTTCATTATAGTTCAGACTTATTACAACAGTTTCATCTACCAATGTCTCTCCTTCCCCCTCCCTCACCCTTCCTGTGTTAACCGATTTCTTACCTTTCTTTGGTATGAATGTGGCCATTCATTGTACAATTAGGACTCTAGTGGCGCTTGCCATACTACCAGATAGTAACTGGGCCTGTAATGTACCTTCACATACTACTAAGACCATACTACTAGATGGTAACTGGGCCTGTCATGTAGCTTCACCTGCTACTACTATGACCATACTACCAGGCAGTGACTGGGCCTGTAATGTACCTTCACATACTACTAAGACCATACTACTAGATGGTAACTGGGCCTGTCATGTAGCTTCACCTGCTACTACTATGACCATACTACCAGGCAGTGACTGGGCCTGTAATGTAGCTTCACATGCTACTACTACGACCATACTACCAGGCGGTAACTGGGCCTGTAATGTACCTTCTTGTGCTTCACATACTACTAAGACCATACTACCAGATGGTAACTGGGCCTGTCATATAGGTTCACATGCTACTACTACGACCATACTACCAGGCGGTGACTAGGCCTGTAATGTAGCTTCACGTACTACGACGATCATACTACCAAGCGGTAACTGGGCCTGTAATGTAGCTTCACATGCTACTACTACAACCATACTACCAGGCGGTAACTGGGCCTGTCATGTAGCTTCACATACTAAGACCATACTACCAGATGGTAACTGGGCCTGTCATGTAGCTTCACATACTAAGACCATACTACCAGGCGATAACTGGGCCTGTAATGTAGCTTCACATGCTACTACTACGACTATACTACCAGGCGGTAATTGGGCCTGTCATGTAGCTTCACATACTAAGACCATACTACCAGGCGGTAACTGGGCCTGTAATGTAGCTTCACATGCTACTACTACGCCCATACTACCAGGCGGTAACTGGGCCTGTAATGTAGCTTCACATACTAAGACTATACTACCAGGCGGTAACTGGGCCTGTCATGTAGCTTCACATATTACTAAGACCATACTACCAGATGGTAACTGGGGCTGTCGTGTAGCTTCACATACTAAGACCCTACTACCAGATGGTAACTGGGCCTGTAATGTACCTGCACATACTACTAAGGCCATACTATCAGATGGTAACTGGGCCTGTCATGTAGCTTCACATACTACTACCAGGCGGTAACTGGGCCTGCAATGTAGCTTCACATGCTACTACTACGACTATACTACCAGGCGGTAATTGGGCCTGTCATGTAGGTTCACATATTAAGACTATACTACCAGGCGGTGACTGGGCCTGTCATGTAGCTTCACATAATACTACGACCATTCTACCAGGCAGTGACTGGGCCTGTAATGTAGTTCACATGCTACTACGACTATACTACCAGGCGGTAACTGGGCCTGTCATGTAGCTTCACATACTAAGACTATACTACCAGACGGTAACTGGGCCTGTCATGTAGCTATACATACTACTAAGACCATGCTACCAGGTGGTAACCTTGCCTGTAATGTAGCTTCACATACTAAGACTACTACCAGATGGTAACTGGGCCTGTAATGTACCTTCACATACTACTAAGACCATGCTATCAGATAGTAAATGAGCCTGTAATGTAGCTTCACATACTAAGACTATAGTACCATACAGTAACTTGGCCTGTAATGTAGCTTCACATACTAAGACCATGCTATCAGATGGTAACTGGCCTGTAATGTAGTGTCACATACTACTAAGACCATACTACCAGATAGTAAAAAGATAAAGACTTGCAGGGTCTTAGTGATTTTGTGTAAGAGAGAGAGTAAAGGGAATGATCAGAAACGGTAAGTGGTGAAAAGTCTGCTCTAAACACTGATCAGGACCTTTTCATTGATCAATAGTGTAATGTGATTGTTAGCGCAAGTCCTGGTAGTGCTGTGGTAGTTTTATTGCAACTGGTGACCACTGGGGAAGTGATATTTTTGCCTCCAATATTTCTAATCTGGCCAGAAGCCAAGTCTAGGTGTACATATCTGATTTTGAGGATTACACCACTTTTTCCCCCAGTCCCGGTTGTAACGCGGGTGAAATTTTCAAACTAATCCTCTTGATTGTTAAAGGAGAACTATGGGGTTAAGGCTTTTCCCCATAGTTCTCCTGGTAACGGGAGGACACAAACTAACGTCCTCCCGTCACCCTAGGCTCAGTATACTAAGACGCTGCAGCGGATCCTGACAATTGTGCCGGGATCCGCCCAGCTGCGTGACTGACAGCTGGCTCTGCCTATCTAGAGGCAGAGCCAGCTGTACTGCCCCGTCCGTTCCGCCAGTCAGCTCTGGCCGGGAGGGCGGAATCCAGCCCCTCCCCCTGTCACGGCAGAGAGCTGTGACAGGATCGAGAGGTGAGCGAACGCCGGTATGTGTTCGCTCACCTCCCGATCTACTGAGCCGACCTGTGACAGTCTCATTGTCACAGGTCAGCTAGAACTATGAGGTGAGTGAAAAGCACTCATGTCATAGTTCTCCTTTTAATAGCTAAACACTGCCAACTACCATTTTGCTGCCCAATGAGCTTCCCTCGGTGGCCTGCACGGACAGTCTTGTTGGACAGACAGTTTGTGGGTTAACCTTGAAGTCAGACCCCAATGATGGTCCTGGATCGATAATGGACATCTTTTGGTGTGCAGTAAGGCAGATGTTCATTGTAATAGTTCTCCTACCTGACCACAGTATTGTAGTGGTAGACTAAAACATGCTAGACCTATTTAGACTCTCTCTTTTTTTTTTTTATGCTCTAGCCTTCAGTGATGCATAACAGTAAAGGGGAATGGGAAGTGATCTATCCAAAGGTAAATTATCAAAATTGAATAGTATAGGGCAACGCTATGCTGATGTTGACATGCATAGAGTACCTGTCACCACCATCTGCTATCACATGGGGGGGCTTGTAAGCCCCCCCATGTGATAGCAGTCAAAGTAAAGTAAAAAAAAAGAAAAAAAAAGTTTTTTTAAAATTAAATTTAAATAAAATAAATAATATAAATAATAATAAAAAATTTTTAAGTAATTTTCAGGCCTAAAATGTGGAATATAACATGGGTACAAAAAATTAAAAAAAAGGCCTCAGTCATGAAGGGATTAAAATGTACTGAACTTATCAGTGGTCTGAAATCTTTTCCTAATCTTGTCTTTGAAGGCGAAGCGGCGGCTTGAACTTGGGGATGGAAGCCAACAGTTTCTTCCTGAAGGGCTAAAAACACCAAAAGGAAAAGGAAGAGCAGCTGTAATCTGCCCAGAGAGTCCAAAAAGTAAGTTGTCCATAAATCGTGAGCTCCTTGTAGACAGTGGGATTGTTCATTCTGTATTATAACATTAAAGTGACAAACTCAGGAGGTAAATCCCCAAAATGCATCTTATTTGTGCATCACTCGGCTGTAGATCCTCATCTCTGAGTTGGTGCTGACATTGTCCTTCAGTCTGGAAGGGGACTACTTTTGTTCCCCATGATCCCTATGTGTTGTAAAATGGCCCTCCAATCTCACTCCTGTGATGCGCTACAATTTTATGGTTAGTTTACTCATTTGTATTGAGATTGTAGTCAATTACAGCAGTCAACTTGGAGGGGTGGCTACTTAAAAACCAACACAGGGACCATGGGGAACAAAAGTAGCCACCCTTAAGGACTAAGGACAGTGTCTGCACCATTTCAGCGATGACTTGAGGTTCAACAGCTAAGTGATGCACATTTGTTTTGCCATAGTTCTCTTTAGGGTCACAGGAGGACATATACTGATGTCCTCCTGTGACCCAAAACTCATCATATAGTAGCCAAGCAGCCGGGATGGATACAGACAACATTCCGTATCCATACCCGTCTGATAGCTGGCTCTGCCTCTCTACAGTAGAGCTAAGCGCTGGAGGAATGCAGAGAGGAGGGCTAATCCCTGTGGGGAGTCGTGACTGACAGTCACTGCTTTCTGCAGGGAGAAGATTGGGAACTGCGCGATCAGCGGTATGTCATCGCTCAATTCTTGAACAATAGAGCTGTCGTGTGACGCGTTCAGTGTCACACGTCGGCTCTAAATATGGGATGAATGTATTTCACTCTTCCCCTAATTTTCCTTTTAAGGTATTTGAATGCATTTTTTAAGATTTGATTTGTGTTTAATGTCACTTTTTTTTTTTTGCCCCATAGTTCTCTTTAGGGTCACTTTCTCCCGTGACCCAAAACTGTGTATATTGCGTGCTATACGCTGAGGGCGCTGCAGCCAGGATGAATCCTGCCAATACTGTCAAGATTAACCCAGCTATGCCCGCTCCCTCCCCATC